TAATATGAGAGTTATTAATCTTATGTCACATGAGATGTGGGTGAAACAAAATTGTGGGACCCACAATTTTTAAAAAATATAAAAGAAAAAGAAAGAAAGGCACAAGATTCTATGAGTGTGTAACATAAGATAGTTGTCTTATGTGACATAAGACAACTATTTCTCTTATAATATTGTTAAAGTTCACTCAAATGATGAAATCCTTCCTTAATCAAAAAGAATAAAATAAATTAATTTGATATATTATTAACAAAAAAAATTTAATTGTCTATCATCATTCTATAATGCAACTTTGGAACAATACATCAAAATTATGCTTCAATTTACTAATTACATCTTTTAAAAGTTCAATTAATCATGTTCGTTTAAAAGAATTTCATTTTATTGTATCTTTTTGTTGGAACTGTATTAATAAATGTATTGCAAATTATAATTAGAATAAATAAAGTATACAAGTGAATATTCAAATATAGAAAAGTAAACAATGCAAGTGATGAACAATGTTAGATATGGCTCATATTTTACATTCAGATGACGATTTTTAATAGCTAGACATATAGAAATTAAATCGAAGTCCCGCTCGTGAATAACTATTGTTGCTTAGGGTTTATAAGCTTATTTATATTGCCATTGTAAACAAAATGCTTTCTGACGAGTGAGGTGAGGAAAATATGTTGAAATATTGTTGAACATAGCCCCACATTGAATGAATTAGGATAAATCTGTGTCTTCGTTTTTCTTTCCTTCTCTCTTTTTTATTTTGCGATTTTATGTGTGATTGTTCGGTCTTAAAACACAAGACATGTGTATAATAAAAATATCACTACATTTAGATATTATATTGCAAGCAATCAATAGTACATTTTTCTTAAAAATTGGATGAAAAAAAGGGATGTGAACTATTGCGGATTTTGAGCTAGGTTTGTATCTCTCAATAGGTGTAGTATCTCAGGTTCTGTTTGGAGCACCTGATAAAGAAGATAGGATAGGATAATTTATCATATTCTATTTTTATCTCTTGTTTGGTGAGTCATTAGGATATGATTAATTTCTCCTATTGTCTCATTTTATCCTATCCAATACATGGTTTCTTATCCTATGGGGGGAGCTGGGTTAGGATTCAATAGGATATGATACCAATATTGAATACCCAATATACCCCACGCTACCCAATATATTTGTATTTATTGCATTATATATTTTTTTTCTCCTTTCTCCTTCTACATAATCTTATCATATTACTAATTAGGTGCTCATCAAACACAGGACATGATATAGGCTTATCAGCCCCATATCATATCCTACCATTATTCTATCATGTCCACCAAACGAGCTCTCAATGTATAGGTACTCAGAGAGGCAGTGATATAGACTAAAGCTCAAAGGAGTCACCGTAAAGTGAAGTTGCAGGAAAAACTGCGAAGTGGAATGTGAATTAGGCTATAATGACTCTAAAATTCAACAGAGTAGCAACTCATAAATTTGTCAGAAATCATGTGCCTCCTCTGTTGGAGAGGAGGGGTTTATGTAAGGGGGAAAATATTCTCTAATCAGGAAAGAGAAAAAGAGAATGGGCCAAAAACAGTTAGGCAAGACCTTAATTCTGTAGTGAGGCATTGTCGTATCGTGTGTATAAGATGGTGAGCTGTGTAAGAGTGAAGAGGATTCTCTAAAGTGAAGTCCATGTGCTCAGATGCTGCTAAATTAGGCCTCTAATGAATCTTGGACGATCGGCATAGCATACTGGGTCTGTGTAGGTCGTTCAGAACATGATGCATATAGTCTGGACTCTAGATCATGTTGCCAACCTTGCTAATTCAAGAATTTCAACTCTCCTTTTTCCCCAACCTTTTCACCGTTAATGTTACATAGACAAGTACATATCCAACTAAATCATGTTCATGTATACCTTTTGAGCTTAAACAGATGTCATTTACCCACTGAAGTGAATAATGTCTCTGAAGAAGTGGTTGAATTGAATCTGGGATAATCGAATTAAATTAATGACTCAAGTGTTTTGGTGCATGACGCAACTGATATGTCTAACTAGTAGTTAATTAAGTCGAGGTGGTTCTTTCTCTTGTCATTTTACCCAGCTCAAAACGAATTAGTTAATTAATTTATAAATTGATAGAAAAAAAATTTAAAAAAAAAAATAACCAGCATAATTATATATGGCTTTGATAGCCTTTGGCTAATACGCTTGACCTTCTATGATGATTGCAAGACTTATAAATTTTAGTGTAAATTCTTGTTTAGATTGGTAGTTTTTTTTTTTTTTTTTTGGTCATAAGACAGAGAAAGTCTCATCTAATCCTATGAACAAATCTTGTTCATATACATGGATTTGACGTATGTTGGTATAAAGTGTCAGGTAAGATCCAACGTGTTAGACATATGACAAAGTTATTTATATTCTCTCTCGCAACTTAAAAGTTTAGAAAAGTTTATCATTACACATAACATTATTATAAATGATTAATTCTCTTAAAAGCTCGTGTCATGAAGTGATATTATATCTCTAACACATGACATTAATTACTCTTCCTTTTTGATGACTTATCATAAAGTCAATCCTAATTATAGGCGTTGAAGAATTTTCATGTCACTATTCATTAGCTTCTTATGTTTTCTTTTATTTATTTTTAAAATTTCATCACCACCTTGTCTTTGTATCGGCCTGGGACTTGCTTACCGAATCATATCTGACAACCTATCTACGAAGATAAGCCCAATTTCTAACCAAGGGTGGTGCGTCCATTCATTGTGAGGAACCATGTCTTATAATATTTTTTTAAAAAAAAAAATTTATATATACATTTTTAAAATTTTATCCTCTTCATAATAACTTTTTTTCTTTGGACTCTTAAGTAAATTTGTCAACTTCTATCCTAATTATAGTACATTTTTTTATTTTTTAAATAATAATCTCTTTTGGGAGGAACATAAGACTTAATTCCGTGGGATTAATTCCATGATCGGTTCAAAAAATCAAAACTTGTAAGAATACAGTTTATTCGCCTTAAAGAGATAATTAGGATTGGTATAAAAAATTAATTTTTTAAAATAAACTGATTCCAACACATACATAACCAATAATTATGTGTTCGGAGATCATTTATTTGCAGTTTAATTAAGATGCATATTTCAGGTAGACTTTGATTTTTTATGTCGTTTAATTGATTATAACGTTCGAGCTATATATTTTCAAAATCAGTAAAACATTCATTGTCAAAGTCCATATCTTGTCATAATATTTTCAACAAAAAAAAAAGACGATTAAACTAAAGCTAAAACATATATAGCACTAGGGTCAATGCCCATTAATAATAAGATAAACATGTTAGCCTTGTTTTATCTTCGGAAAGCATGGGATCAAGAAGAAAGGGTAGCCATGAACATATATAAAAGAGGAATCATGGGCAATAATTATGAAGAACCAGAACCACAAGTGTCCAACTGCTATGCAAATTGCAATTAGCAAATTCTATCCTTTTGCATCTAATATGCTTAGCGGAGCTAGACCTAATTCTTCATTATTTCAGGGGATCAAACCCAGAAAAAATTGAAAAAAAAAAATGGAATCGAAAAGAAAATTTTAAAACTAGGGGGAGGTTAAGGCCTACCTTACACTACAAAAAGCACTGTCAATGTGCTTTTCAGGAAAATATTTTCAGTACATAAGATGTATTGAGTACTCGGTATATCAGATATACGGAATACTCGGTATATCTTTTACTAAATATGAAAAAAAAAAAAAACATTTATATTAACACTGTCTTTATAATTATTTCCTTCTATATTCTTTTTTTTCCATTTCAGGTAAGGGAATACGTACTCTTTGAGTATCGAAAATATGCTTGTTTTCTAGAGATTTGCATCAAATCATTTTCAGTAAACTTTTATTTTTTAAAATATAGCTGTCAAGTGTCAATAGTTAAATTCTCAAAAGAATTTGATTACTAATTTAATCTCCCAATGATACATAGTGTCGTTACTTAATCTTTTAAAAAAAAATTAAGTTACTTAGTTCATTGACAATGCAAAGTATTATTAATTAGTCATTCAATGATGCAAAATATTATTAAATTCTTAAACATAGCAGCAAGTCCCATCTGTCTAACTGCTGCAGGCTCCACTATTAATTATATTTTGTTGAAAGCTTAGCTCTATTTTTTAAAATGATTTAGCTAAGTTAATTGTGGATATGGGAGCCAGGTTTGTGATTCGCTAAGCAAGGCAATATTACCTGTGTTTGGGGACAATATTGCCTTCCTAAGCCATGACGTGTTCTTCTACAATATATTGCATTAGATGCACTCTGTAACTTAAAACATCAACAACATCAACATCAACATCAACAACACCTTTATCTCAAATTAATACTCTGTAACTTAAAACAAAGTTGAAAAATCCAATGCAACAACCCCCAAAGATCATAAGCAAATGGTTGCACCGATTTCAATTTGCCTTCTTGCACATTATTGCCATTGTTGAAAAGATTCAATAATGTGTCCAATCATTCGAGGTTATTTTGCATAGTATGACCAACATAGTTTAAAATGTATATATATTCAAAGCTAATATATAAAAACGTGATGACAATTTCCTCTCTTTGATTCACTCCTTCATATCTCAACTAAACCGCGTTTAAAAGATTTTTTAAATGATTCGCAGATTAACAGTACCTCTCCTATTCAATTTAAAACAGTGATGTCATGTTATGTTATTCCTTTATAATCCAAGGAAAAACTATTTCTGCAATTATGGTAAAAATAATTTGTCTGCCACAAACACAAAATTGAGAGAGAGAGAGAGAGAGAGAGAGAGAAAATTTTGATGTAACCCGCTCTTTTTTTGTGTCAGTGGCAAACAAACTATTTCTGCCACAACTGCAGAAATAGTTCCCTATAATCCAATTCAACCTTGATCATAAACACTCGTGCAAAATGAAAAAATAACCAATAAAATTTACAGGAAACTGAATAAATGAATCCGATCACTTTTTTCCCTTTTGTATCATACATATTCTTGTAAATAAGAGTTCTATGTTACAAATCAAAATTGTGGTGGAGTTGCAAAGACCACATCTAGTTTTCTCAATTAGAAAAAGTGCCCCTCAGCTCTCAGCAAAAATAGAATAAACAAGTTGCACAAGCTTGTACCACTTCCCTCCCCTTCTCAACAACCTGCAAGCCTTTCTGTCTTAAAGGAATTGCAACCCCCAACCTGGCCTGCAGCAATGCACCAAGCATGCAACCACCTTTTGAGTTGTGACCCTTCCAATCAGTACAAATTCAATGCAATGAGTCACACAGAAGCCACCATCCAACCAGTTTAAGATCAAGGCAATGAGTCACTGATTGCTTGTTGCCAGAGTGCATATAACAAAAGAATGCATCAAGAATTTTGGAATCTATTTCTAGCCCCCAGTTGCTGCACTTCCACCCACGTAGGGTGCCAAAGGAGGGTTCCTTGTGCAGATATAATTGAAGTATCGTGTGCCAATTAAATAATCAATCAGTAAGGAATGACATATGGCAGAGCAAAAACATCTGCTGTCTCTATGTGAAGACCTTCTGACCATACCTGCAGTGTCTCCCCAACCTCTGAAGATTCCACCACTGGTTTTCTTTCTTGTAAAATACTACTTTTGCCAAACAACCAATCTTGATCGTCAAAACCAGACCACTCTTCCACCTTAGGTACCGAGTATACCTGGCTTAAATACTTTGTATCTGGATGGGGTAGTTTTGCAGATGCTTCAGTTACCAGATTAGCTGGCACAGTAGCAGTGAGGTGCGTCTTGTTTGAGGAAACTGCAAATGGTCGAGCTTCAATGACGCCATTTATCTTGAATTCCTTGTTATCTACCTTAACACTGGTGGCTACTACTCCTGGCTTATCTGAAGCATTTGGAATGGATATTTGACAAGGTTCCAATATCCTTCCATTTTCAGTGAATGTATGAGAGGAAGACGATCTTGCCAACTTACTAGGCCAATTGTCATTGGCTGTAAGAAATTCAAAAAAATTAATTATAACATGTCAGCCAACAGCAAAACAATGTGTACAAACTCGAGAAAGTTGAATAACGTTATTGAAAAAAATACCAGCAGTTAAAATATCAATATAAGCATGTGACATCATGGAAAACCCACCATTATCTCACAGGATGTAGTATCTGGTATTAGCCTAAAAGGTCAGCAAAATACTACTCCAAACCCAATAAGAGAAACATCGTATTTGTAATTAAATACAACTTAACAGGATCACTGAGTAGCAATGAGAACAGGACTCATTATAAATAGCACTCACCACGTGGAACTCCATTTGACTCAATGTCCTTCCGTTTCTTGAGATTTTCTCTACTAACAGCATTCTCATCGCTGTTGCTGGAAACCCGTGCGAAAGAATTTGAACCTATAGGGCCAACTTTGTTGCTCTCTTTTAATTTATTCTGCTCTGTGGTTTTAAGTTCAGTATGCTCCTTAGCTTTCTCCTCCTTTTTCTTCTCTTTATCCCTGTCTTTGTCCTTCCCATGCCCTTTCTTCTCCTTCTCTTTATCTTTCCTTTTATCTCCCAGTTTATCATCTTTCTTTTCCTTTTCCTTAACCTTTTCCCTTCCTCCATCTTTCTTATCCTCAACCTTTTCTTCTCCATCATATTTCTTTTCCTTAACCTGTCCTTTTCCTTCGACTGTGGCTTCCAAATTCCTGTCAAAATACTTCCCCAAAAGTTTGGACATTCCATCAACTGTAGGATGAAAATTTCCAGAAAGTTTGGCCATTCCATCAACTCTAGGATGAAAATTTCCAGCATGATTTTGAACTGTTGCATTTCCAATAGGTCGGACCTCAGCCCTGATTCCTTTCCCATCAATCTTCTTAGCATCAAGACCCTTATCATTGAGTTTTTCCTTGCCATCAGGCCAGGGGCCACTACCCTTAGCCACCAACCTAACAGTCCCCTCATCCTTTCTATGGTCTGTATTTGTAAACTTCTGAACCAATTGATTGCCAGCTCCTCCGTTATCATCCTTAATCCTCCTCTCCAACTCCAGGAGGAATTTAGAATCTTTGTTCTCCTCAGCCAGATGATTATTCTCTCTAGCCTTCTCCCCATTGTTACCATTATACTGTTTAGTAAGTTTATTCTCAAACAAGATACCCTTCTTATCATTTTGCTTGATTTCTTTTTGATGAAGTTTACCTGCATTGGGACCCTCACCTTGTCCTGGAAATCCTTTGTCATCTGCAGTTCTGCTTTTACTTTTATCCCTATCTCTGCCCTTGTCCTTGCCCTTATCTTTCTTTTTTTCTCTGTTTTTTTCCTTTCTGTCCTTTTCCTTATGCTTTCCATCCCTTCCTTCTTTCTCTCTCTTTTCCTTACTTTCCCTCTTCTCTTTGTCCCTCTTATCTTTTTTACGTTTTTTTTCTCTCTGCTTTTCCTGTAAATCATACAATGAAAAGAGATATTAAGAGCAATGATCAAATAAGAAGACAACTCAATGGCTTCACATCCTCTACTCCACCCATGAGAAACAAAAAAATAAGAGAACAATATCAACAGTTTAAAGATGCAAAACATGGTCCTCGTCTCCTTGAAAATCAAATATCTCGAAGGAAGAAACTCCAAAAATAACATTAACAACAAATCAAAGTCCATTAGATACTCACTGTCTACCTACAAAATATTCCAGATTTTAGTAGCACATTTTAGCCAACTATAACCAAACAAAGAGGGGAAACACAATCCCATTGCAGAATTTTTAATCAAAATAAAAATGTAGCAATATCTTACTTTGATGCTTTAATAAGCAGTCTCAATTATTAGATTTTTCAACCCAACAGAAACATGTTCATTCTTAGATGCTAAAGCTGGCCATTCCAAATCACATATTTTTTTGGCTTTTGTTACATATTACAATTAAAATATGCTGACATTGCAAAAAGAAGTTCTTCTGTATGACATTTTTGAGTCTTTGTCCTTTTGCCCTAGCAATGGATGAGCTAACAAAAGATATCCACAACAAGGTGTCATGGTGTATGCTATTTGCAAACAATACTATGTTTATTGATGAGATCAAGGCTGATGTTAACACTAAACTAGAATTACGTTAAATCGTACTAAGACTAAATACATGGAATGTGAGTTTGCCACGATAAGAGGAGGAGATCAAGACTTTGTGAATATGCTAGGACAAAAGGCACCTAAGAAAGATGCATTTGGATATATGGGATCAATCTAGCAAAAAGGGGGGAGAAATTGATAAGGATGTAAGCCATAGAATCAGAGCGAAAATTCTTGGGTGCATTAGGATTTTGTGATTGCAACGTCCCTCTTAGGCTAAAAGGAAAATTTTATAGAATAGCAATAAGGCTTGTAATATACGGAGCTCAACGTTGGCCGGAACAGAAACAACATGTGCTTATCATGGGAGTGGCATAAATTAGGATGTTAAGTGTGGTCATAAAGGAATGGATAAGAAATGAAAATATTCAACACAAAGTTAAAGTAGTACCGGTTGAAGAATATGTAAGAGAACATAGGTTTAGATGGTTTTGACATATTCATCGAAGACCCCTACATGCTTCGATAATAAAAGAAATTTTACCCGGAGCATGAAATAAAAAAATAAAAAAAGAAAAGAAAGAAAGAGGTCGACTGAGACTTAAGAGGGGGGGGGGGGGGGGGGATAGTAAATCAAGGCTTAACGAAGTGGGTAGATAGAAGATAAAAGAAGGTCCAAAGAGGAAAAGATAGTAAGAATGCCAATCTTTTCAGATGAGAAGCATCACAGGCAAAAAAATAAAAAATAAAAGATTCACAGTAATACACAATCAGAAATTTTCAGGGAACTTTGCAAACAGTACAGATAGCAATTATGTTGGAATGTTGGATAATCAATTATGATTGGGTACGTAGAACATAGACCATACCAATTGAAATGAAAAAGCTATACTAATAATTCAGCATGTTAACAAACAAGAAAATAACATATTTATATTTGAACAAAAGAAAAAAGTTCAACCACACTTATTGAATTGCATACATCACCCATTAAATGAGATCATAAGCAAATCTGATTTAGCCCTGACATAAAGTAACTGATTAATCTAATCAAGGTAAACATAACATGAACTCATCGATCAGATAAATTGATCTTGCCCAAAGGATCTATACAAAAATCATATACAAATAATTTTTTCCAATCTTGATCAGGTCATCATGCCAACCTCTAGTTTCGCCACAAATACACTTGATCACTTTTACATGTCTTGAGGAAAACAAAATCTGACACAATTTCACTGATATGAATATGATTATGATGCGTGGTTCAGTTATAGACTTATAGAAGAAGTGGAGCCATTCCACATGTTACATGATGTGTGGTTCACTTTTACATGTTCTGCAACCATTCAACATATGATTTATGTATAGATCCTATCTGGGTAAGCCACCTACTATTTAAAATTCAAGCTTTATTCTCTAACTAACAGAAGCAAGGCAATTAAAAATCATTGCTTTCAAAAAATCAGCAAGTATTATAAATTACGTTTGAAGAATGTCCAAAATCCAAAATAGATATGGGCAATCTCCACCAACACTAAATCTTTGTTTCAATACCAAAGGTGCCACATGGAAGGCATACCATCAAGCCCAAAGGTCATTGTTTTACAACAAAAGGACTCATAACTTGACTACTAATAATTACTTATTCCATACTAATCACAGACTATGTTTTAAACAACCCAAACCCACACCCTTACAAAACAAATAAAAAATCCATAACAAAAGCAGTATTTTATATATTATGAGAGACTGACTACTCTAATATGTATTTACTTTGACAGGCATGCTACATATTATAGATGGCTTTGAAGTAAATGATACATCAACACTCCTAACAGGAAAGTACAAATCAAATTCACTTAAAAATAAATAAATTTGCATGGCCTACTATTGAAACAATAAACAAAATTGACAAGGCTAGGCAGCAGAATGACATGAATTTGGTGAAATCCGTGAAAAGATGGAAGAGCATGAAAAAAGCAGAGCATATGAACTTTTAATCATCATAATATCTTTGCCTCTTCACCAGAAACGAAATAATTTATCCATTCAAACCTCTTGGAACTTTTATATTCAGCATTACAGTCACACCAATCTAAAAATCTAAATTTTGAACACAACACAGAAACCCTGACATGAATCTAGTAAACATATAACAAGACAGATAAAGGAAACATTTGATATGACGTTCACCTATGGAAAGTCGTAAATCACATGAACCAACTTTCATCAACTAAGATTGTACAAACCCTACTGATCAATGTAGGCAAAAAATGATACTGTCACGTAAGCCTCCCATCATCAACAATTGCACACTTACCCCAATCGGACAAGATCTTTTATAATTCCATTGGGTATGATATACTTTGAAAGAGGCCATGTAAAATGTTTCTAGGTTAGCAATTTACAATGAACACCAAACAAATCGAATTTTTCTTTATTCAGAATAAACAGATACAAAAATATAGACCACATAATTAAATTGAACATGAATGCATGATAGAAACTATTCTAGATAAACATTATAATGTTCCATTTAGAAAATGAACCTAATCAATCCACGTTTAAACGTTGGGCAACTCAATTGAAACTTCATTTTGTATCACAAATAATGTTACTTCAAATTATATGTACCATATGAATATAAGAGAAGTATCTTAACCTTTTTAAATAAGTCCACTTCATCTGTTCTAGCCTTCTTTTCATATCCTGGTGGTGGAAATGGAAAGCAGCGCGACATTGCACAAAATCCAAATGTGCCTAGAATAAAATCCTTCCAAGGTTGAGAGTGCTTCAATTAGTTTACAGTAGCACTGTTCCAGAAAGGGAACGAACCAGTAACTATGCTCCTGTCCATGCACCATGTCACCGCATTCATTTCCAGATTTAATATTCCTCCATAAGCCTCTTACTACAAACACAAATTATGGTAACCACCAAGGTTTACTTCCCTTCACCAAAATACTCAAGTAGCTCAAACAAATAGTACTGGAATTTTATTCAAAATCAATGAGCAGCACAGCAACCACTCAGTCTCACTAATTGAAGTCCTAATAAAAAGGTAAATGGTGCAACACAACCCCAATCAGTATATGTTTTGGAGCACTATGGTACGGAATTAAGCTTTAGACTATGTCAATCCAAAGGGTTTCTTCAGAAACGAAAATGGATCACTGAAATCAGATACTATCTGTTTACTTGAGGGCCAACAGAGAATCATCAGGTTTTTCTGTGTGTCAAGGCTCAAAACCAAAATCATCCCCCAGCAAAGACCAAAAAGGAAACAACAAAAACGAAGACCAAGAAGGCCTGTGTACTGTTTCCAAAGAGGGTTCTCAAAATCTTGATCAGTGTTAATAATATAGACAATCTTCTTCCATGCTCAAAGAAGCAATGTTAAACACCATCTTAAGCAATCTCCAAGTTCAAATGCTCAAGCACCGTAGTTCCAAATCCAATATTTGAACCCCTGAAAAGATCAGAGCTCATGCCCATTTCACGCAAACCCACGGAGAGAAGGAGCAAGCACAGTCTTCCCTTCAATCACACTCTCTGATCAAAACCCTAATCACTCGGGAATTTTCCAAATTCAGCAAGTTCCCAGTTACGATCCAAAGAAACCCTAGAAAAGAAATTCCACCAAAAGAAACAAGCTGAGTATACATACCCGGAAAACACCCACAAATAAAGAAAACCCTAATCCCAATTATGGAAACTTTTATTGAATAAACCCAACAAAAAAAGTGCATAAAGCAGAAAAAATTGAACGGAATAAAGAGAATCAAACACTTTTTAGTACCTAAGCAATAATGGGTATCGATCAAAAGGAGAAAAGAAGCTCTGATTCGAAGCGTTAACGAGAAAAAAACGTTAAATTTCGATTAGTGAAAGAGAGTCCAAGGGAAAATTGTTGTAAGAGATTACCTTGTCCACTACAAAGTGGACATTGTAGGAGGACAAGATCTCTCTCTCTTTCCCTTTCACATATATACAATATAAGAAAGAGAGAACAACAATCTTAATATACACAAAACTATGTATATGTATATAATAATATAATATATGGTTTTGGGGGAAGTACTTTCTCTTTCTCTGTTCTATGTGTTGTTGCTGTTGCTATGGTATGGTATATGCTATTCACACAGTTTTTGTTCTCTTTCTCTCTCTAGATTCTGGGTTTTGTTTCTCTTTGTTTGCCCACTGCTTCTTCTTTTTCTTCTGTTCTGTTCTGTGTGTGTGTGCCCCCTCTCTCTCTCTCTATTTGGTTATGGGTGTTTTGCGTTTGTGTGTGTTGTCCCTAATATTTATACGGAGAAGATAAACCAAACTGTGTTACTCCCAAGTGACTATTAATCAATTTTACCGTTAGATCGATTATGTTGATCCAACGGTCATATTTATTTTCATCTTCGTATGGTTATGATTTTTCAAATTTAATATTTTATATTTATTTTCATCTTTGTATGGTTATGATTTCTCATATTTAATGATTTCACTTTAAATATGGGGAATCATGACTATACAAAGATGAAAATAAATATAACTGTTGGATCAACATAATCGATCTAACGGTGAGATTGATTGATAGTCACTTGGTAGTAACACAATTTGGTTGTCACAATATCTTTCCCCTATTTATATATTATTTATTATTGGTAGTGTTATTCGTCATGTGTTTCTCTTATTTTATTTCTCTCACTTTGTTTCCTTTTTCTATTGGTAATGTGCTGTTTTGTGTTCGGAAGTTACACGCGAGGATGAACATCGATTGAAAACCCATATACCGAAGTTATAACCAAAAAAAGGGCAACAAGGGGAAGCCAAAGCAATGGCACATGCACATGACCCACCCTTTTATGTATAAATTATTTTTGAGTATGTTTTTCTCATTTTACATGAGATAACATACCTCTGTACTCATATATTAAAAGTTGTGCTAATATTTATTTATTTTTTTACTTTTTTTTTAAAGAGTGGACCTCACATATTTTATGTCTATGGCGTGAGATAACAAGTCTCGTGTACTATAAGACTTGTATTTCCCATTATTTTTACTGTTATTCTAATGGAAATGGGATACGATGAGAAAGAGAGAGAATTTGCACCCTGGTTGGGGCTTTATGCTCTTCTTCACTATTTCTAATCTCGAATTTTATTTTATCTTTCTGTGTCCAGTAATTCATATGTATTTACATATAATATAAACAAAAATGTGCATTAACATTACTCTTTATTTAATATTTTTTTGGAAGGATATACTTATCACAAAAAATATTTATCACATTTACAACTAACTTAATTACCTTTGATTTCTGTTAATTTAACGGTTATAATTTACTGAATTTATAGGAATTAATAATTAGTTAATGAATACAATCCAATAATTTCAAATAAATTATAATCGTTAGATTGATAGAAATCAACAATGATTAAATTGGTTGTAAAAATAATAAATATCTTTTATGATAAATATATTCTGCCTCTATTTTTATAATCAGTACAATGGCGGTATCACGATGGTTTCTCAACCGGTTATGAGTCATTAAAATTGAATTAGTAGTGAAGTACTTAAATAACTTGCCAAGGATGATAAGTTTACATTTCGGACTTTTTGACCCTTATAACCCTTTATTAATAATTAATTATTAAATTGACCTTCATTATAAACTATTTCGAAAATTTAACTCCCTCAAAAGACATAACACTAATCTGCCTCTGTTTGACTGTTGACCACAAAGTCTACCTAGGTACACCTCTCCCTATCCGGGTATTTTTTGAAATTTTTTGCCTATCCGAGTAGGTAGGGGTGTACCCGGGTATTTTTCTTGACACCTGAGAAATTGCTTGAATTATTTAGCCGGATAAGGAGGGATGTACCCGGGTAAATCTCGTTTTTGTAGTTTGCATGGTTTTTAATAGAACTGCAATTTCAGCCTGGAATTCGTCTAAGGCGGCTTTGTTACTAATCACACCTGCTTCCATTCGTTTTACTGCAATTTTTGTTCCATCATCCAATTCTCCCTTATAAACAACGCCAAATCCACCACGGCCTAGCTCATTCTCGGGGCAAAATTCTTGGAGCCTGTTTGGATGGGCTTCTTTTTCTTCAAAAGCTACTTTTTTTAAGAAAAAAAAACACTTCTCGAAAAAAGTTTATTTGTATGCGTGCTTTAAAAAAAACAGAAGTCATAAAAAAAGTCAAAAATTTACTTTTTTCAGAAGCTAAAAATTGTAACTTTTAAGAAAAGCAGAAGTCAAAAGCAAAATGTTTTTTTCAAAAATCAAATATTTTTTTAAAAATCTAAATAGCTGTAACTTTTATATAAAGTACTTTTAAAATAAAGAAGTGATAAGAAGGACTTTTATAAAAAGCCAGTGCAAACGAGCTCTTGGTCACATTTCTTAGAAACTGGACTGATATCACAATATTTCCAGCTTCAAGGACATGAGAATCCCCAATTCCACTGCTGTTTCTACTCCCAGACACACTCCTTGTTACAGTGGAAATGCTTCCATTGGTATTGTTAGCAACAGTAATCTTTACGGTATTGTCTGAATCAGATAGATCTCTATGGTGAATTACTAATGAATCACCATCATTTCTCCTCCTGAAATAATACACATAAAGTGGAATGAGAAGAAAAGCTGCAGCAGCCCCACCCGCAATGGGGGCTACAATTGAAACCAAGCTTTTCGTTTTGAATTTTGTTGTTTCACGAGAATTATTAGAACTTGAATTTGAGTTTCCTGGTGTAGGTTCAGCCTTCCCAAATCCAGATGGTGAACTGTTGTTCCCTGAGGAAGCACCGTCGAGTTTACCCGGTACACCCCTCCTACTCGGGTAGGCAACAAATTTCAAAAAATACCCGGGTAGGAAGGGGTGTACCTGAGTAAGTTTGGTGGTCAACGGTCAAACAGGGACAGATTGATATTATGTTTTTTGAGAGGGTTAAATTTTTGAAATAGTTTATAATGAAGGTCAATTTAGTAATTAATTATTAATAAAAAGTTATAAGGGTCAAAAAGTCTTACATCCCAATACTGCCTTCTATATTTATTAAAACAACTTGTATGGAGAGTAATTTTTTTAACATATTTTATTATGGGTTTGTTTTTTTCTATGTTACTTTAGATAACTTTATCTAATGTTCATCAAAACGACGTACGGAAATCATGGTATTTTTATTATTTTAATTTATTTCAAGGTTATAATAGTCTTTATCACTCTAATTTTTTAATTTTTCAACCCAAAACGACGTCGTTTCGATGAACATTAGATAAAGTTATCTAAAGTAACATCGGAAACTTTTTTCCCTTTTATTATTAGATAAAGGAAAAAGTGTTTGTCATTTTAAATGACATAATACTCTGTCATTTTAAGAGAGAGACAGACACAGGAAAAAAAAATTATTTAAATTTTAAATTAAAAAAATCATTCACTCTCTCTTCCATGATTTTCATTTTTTTGTGTTTATCTCTCTCCTAAAATGACATAACTTATGTCATTTAAAATGACAAACACCAAACCCTTAAATAAAATTTTATATTGGCTCCGTAACGATATTATTGGTCAGACTACGGTTGAATTGAGTTATATAAATTTTTTAAATCTAAATTAATGTTAATTTTTTAATAATATTTTTAACCAATAAAAAAATAGCAAGGAGATAACAAATAATTGTGGGAAAAACCGTACAATCCCAATTTGGATACCACTATATAAATAGGAGACAAATCCACTATAACGAATCAAGCTCAATTTAAAGTAAATAATATAACATATTCTTTCTCTCTACAAAAATTCACCCAAACCTATCTCCAAATTTAGGCACTCCAATTAAGTCAAGTGAATTGTGCCGCAATGGTCAAACACTTGACAATTGCTAAACAAACTTTCAGCTTAACTCTAAATTAAAAGTATAAACCTAAATTATCACTAGATAATTGATTTCCTATTATCTACTCCAATACTAGCTAAAATAAAAACAATTTAAAAGTTACTTTACATGCTTTTAATTAAATAAGTAAATAGATACAAATCACACCCTTAGAGGTGGACTCAATGAATCTATTCATACCTTAGTTGCCAAAAAAATTTGAATGCACCTAAAGAAGAGGTACTCATAATGAGATCAATGCGCTTTTTCTATTGAATGTCCACATATACTTTGAAGAAAGACTCAAAGCATGGATTTTATAAAAAAAATCTCAAAATCAATTACATAGGAGAAAATTTCAAAATTTCTTTTAAAAATAGAATCAAAATTTTCAAAAAATTAATTTCCCATAATTAAATAAAATAGAATCAAATCTTTCAAAATTAAATTTAATCTCAAAATAATTTTTTCTTTTCCAAATAAAAACTAGATCTTAAAAATATATTTAGATTAAAAATAAAACTTTATATTTTCATTCCTTAGTTTCCAAAACTTTAAGATAATTCAATCCAAGACATGATCAAAATACCTCATCCAACCATAATGTTTTCCCAAAAAGCTGGAGATAACTTTATTTCTGGCCGTAAGTGGGGGAAACTCACTTTTTTTCTTTCTCTCTCTTTCTTTCATAGGAGCTCACTCATTCACATGTGAGTATATAAAATAAAATTATATCCTACTTGTAGAAGAAAAATTAAACCCTTTTATAAAATTTAACTACTCAGGAGAAAAAATCAAAATTCCTTTTAAAAAAAGAATCAAAATTTTCAAAAAATTAACTTCCATAATTAAATAAAATAGAATCAAATCTTTAAAAAATAAATTTAATCTCAAATTAATTTTTTTTTTCAAATAAAAACTAGATCTTAAAAATATATTTAGATTAAAAATAAAACTTTCTATTTCCGTTCTTTAGTTTCCAAAACTTTAAGGTAATTCAATCTAAGACATGATCAAGATACCTCATTCAACATTACATAAAGGGATTAATGTTTTTCAATAAGTTAGAGATAACTTTATTTCTAACACTCACATGTGAATGGGTCAAACTCACTTTTTCTCTTTCTCTCTCTTCCCTTCATAGGAGCTCACTCATTCACATGTGAGTATATAAAATAAAATTACATGGTACTTGTAGAAGAAAAATTAAACCCTTTTATAAAATTTGATTATCCTACTTTTAGGAATTGATTTAATTTTAAATTTTTTAAAATTTTGTATTATAAAAAAATATCAAACATTTCTTAGAGTATTTTTTTAAAAAAAAAAAATCTTCGAATAAGTTAAAGGAATTTTGTAATGTATGATATTTTTTATGGC